AGGGTGTCAATGATGGTCGTAATGATGATCGTCAAGTCAGCAGTCTTCCCCATGATTCTGAAACCTACTAAGCCAAACTGAGACAATTTCAAGGCTGAGGAAACCTTTGCAGGTGTTTTGCATTAATTAGCTGACTAGATTGGGACACAGGGAGCCTACAATGTTGAACTTTGTCATGATATTCTAATTTTGTGAAATACTGGATTTGGGTTTTTTTTGTCTTTAATCCATAATCATCAAAATTGAAACAAATAAAGGCTTGAAATATTTCACTTTGTGTGCAGTGAACTAATATAACATACAAGTTTCACTTTTTGAAACAAATTATTGAAATAAATGGACTTTTCCTCGATATTCAAATTTTTTGGCACATACCTGTAAGTGATAGACTGGCAACCTGTCCAGGGTGTTCCCTTGCCCAGTGTCAGCTGCATCAAAGTGCCTAGTCGAGTCTGGCCACAATACCTCAACAACATCACAAGCAATGTCCTCCATGGCTAGACAGTGAGGGAAGAAATACCTTGAATGTTATATACATGCTTCCACCATTGCTTGTTCTTTTCTACCTCTATTCTGACCTCTACCTCAACCTACTAGGTCAGCTTCCACTGACGCTGTAAACAGGTACTCACTTGTTGTCTTTTTACAGTGCAAACATTATTATTATTTTATCAACAATTAAGTAATTATGTGTTTGGCCAGGTAGCAAACTTTTTTTTTTTCAGTAGTGTGGCACTTTGGTTGGCAGTGTTTTGAAATGGCAAACAAGTGGCATTATGACAGACTTCTGTGTCTTATGTAGAAAACTGTGTGTAGTGTTCTGCAAAAAGTATTATGTTATTATGTTAACTTGCAACATGGGTGCAAAGCAGAAACATGTTTTGAGTTCTGGAAACTGAGTTTTTGCTCCCTGAGTGTCAGCTTTGTTAATTGTGCCAAGTGTGTCACTTCTACTGAAAAATACTGTAGATCACACAGAGTTTTCTTTTATACAGTGACTATTTTAAGAAGTCAGACACAGCTCATTAGAGCTTTCAGATTTTTCTCAGCATTCACTTTGTCAGGAATTAGGAGTCCTCAGGTTTTAACAATCATTTGTCAGCTTCAGTTGTTGTTTGCCAGCCTTAGCTGCTTACATATGAATATACATGCTAAAAGGCAAGTGTGCTGCAGAGGTCATGCTGCACCAAAGTACTGAAACAGTATACCAGTGAGAGACATCGTTTTTTAAAATTTTTGAATCAGATCCTCATTACAGTAACTCTCAGCAGGGTAACAGCAATTTGTCTTCCATTTTTATCTAGCATTTCTTTTGCATAAGCATTTTTAGAATGAGCTATCAGTCAGTCTCTAGTGGTCCTGAAGCTTTTTGAGCACTCTGTTTGATTTGGATAGTTAATGAACATGGTGTTCTAATGTGTGTGCTGCTGTAGACTGTTCTACCTTCCTGAGTCTCTGAGTCTCTGAGTTGCAATTTCCGGTAAACTACAAAAAAAATCCCATTTTGTAAGATAGTAGAAATCTTGATAACAGGCACAATACTCTGCAGATGCATTTTTTGGCTCTGATAAAAAAAAAAAAGTTCCCAGAGAAAGTATTTAATGGCAATATGATTTTTCAAGTCAAGCCAAGTATCTTTCCTTTTTAAAATGTATGAAGGTACATTATACTTCTACTCATTTTGTTGAGTTTAACAGTTTTTTTGTTTGTTTTGTTTTTTTGTTACTGAACATTAAAAAAATTGTCTTCATGATAAAGTGTGAGAGTAGACTAGTGCGTCAAGAGTCAGGATGAATGGGAAGGATAATCAAACACTGAAGAGTCCACAGAGAGGAGAGAAAGTGCCCAAACAGAGGTTGAATGGCTTTACAAAGACAACCCAATTAGATTATGAAAGATATTCTTAACTAAATCTGAAACTCAGTGATCTGTAATGGGAGTCCTGTGGCTTATAAAAGCATTTCCCTGAAATAATCTGTTTCCTTCTCATTTTCTGCCTTTCTCTCCCATTCTTTCCCTTTCACTCAATCGCACACTCGCACACACAGACAATACAAGCACACAAAGGGAGTGAAATATTTCTGGTTACATGCAAATTTTTGCATTCGATCATCAGCCAAATGTGGTGGCCAACAACTCTTCCAGCCTATATGCCCCATATAATTCATTTGTCCCTTCCCTCTTATTTGACCCATAGGAGCTTCTCCTGATATACTGTACCACTGCTACGCTGGCAGACTGAATTTCAAGAACTCTGCCAACATTAACGGCAACATATGTCACATTGGCAAGTTTTATGGACCATACCCATCAAGTGTAGTGGAACTGTTGTCATGGAAGCTGTCACAAACATGTTGATACAATTATGAAACCATCACTCTTTTGTTATGTTTTCTCACGAAAACCACTTGGTTAGCTTAAAGAACAAAAGCTATTAAAAAAGACACATCACACACTGGAACTGAACCGCGCTCACCCAGGGTATAGTCTTATATTTTAACCAAATATCATGATCGGTCAGAGTGACTCTGCTCATTAGTCACCTGAATATTTTGTATAGCCTGTCCTGCCCTTGATGTCAGTGCCAGATTGTCTCTCACTTCATAGAGAACTCTCCAGCCATCTCTCCTGAAACTTTTTTACCTGTACCTGTGGAAACCTGACTGTGTTTTTCCCCTGACCCCTGCCTGCTCAGTGGAGAGGTCCGACAGCTTCCTGATAAGAACAGCTGCATACTTACCTACTCGCTTACATGGATGGTCTGTAAGCTTCTCATCCACCACCATCCTCCCTGTGTCTCACCGCTGTCCTCAGATTCTGCCTCCCATGTCTCCTTTGTTTTCTTGTAAAAAGGAACCACCTCATGTTTGTGAATACCATAAACATCTAGTCATTATCGTTGGATTTCACCTGCAAATACTTTGCACTCATCCTCTGTCTGCATCTCATAGATGCTACAAAGTCTGAACAGTAGTTGAGTGCCGCCAACCTGGAAAACCAGTGCAACCACTCTACTCACCACTCTGTCCACCGAGTGGCTTTGCCCTTTTAACAATCCCACTTTTTGATTATCTGTTCATTGCTGTTCATTGTCGTTAATTTGGGTCCAACCTTTTACTCTAACATGACACCAACCGCCCCATCCTCCTCCTAAAACAGACATCCTGCCTTTATATACTATGTCAACTAACTTAATCCCTTGCTCATGTCATAGTCGCTACAGTTGCAGAGGTCACCATAACATACAGGGAGGACAATCTCGAGGCAGCATGTCTGAACTTCAATGGCTAGACAGATAGAGATTTAGTGTGAAACATATTAGGACATAACGCATTTATCAATTTCACCAACTCAGTCTGACTCTGTTCATGTAGTTTTACATAAATAGCTGAATTTTTGAGTTCCTTGGTGCAAGGTACACTTGGCCCCTTATATTATAGGTTTATAAGAGGAAAGAAATGCTTCAACTTACTGAACTGTAGTAATTATTAATCTGCCATATTGCAACCATGCAAAATGATGGTTTCCTGATTTCATCTTTGCTAATTTTGTCAGTGACTGCTTAGATCAAGGTTATAAAGAAATCAATTATTATTCCTAATTATGTTATTATATTCATATTCATCTTATATTTACCTTTTTTACTGCGATGGATTGGCGACCTGTCCAGGGTGTACCCCGCCTTCGCCCGATTGCCGGCTGGGATTGGCTCCAGCCTCCCCCATGACCCTGTTCAGGGACTAAGCGGTAGAAAATGGATGGATGGATTTACCTTTTTTATATAGAGACACCCTTTGAATAATATAATTTACCATCAAACCACTTTGTGGAATGTGTAGAAGGCCACACATTAAAATACAAAGACTTTAGGTTCATGGGTGGATTTTTTTTTGTAGTCTGTTCTTGTTCTAACACACACACACACACACACACAACACAAATGTTTTCCCGTCAGCATGAACAGCCTTGACACAGTACATGTTCTCTGGATCATTAGCCTCATATGTGTTGTTGATCTCACAGTGCATTGAGGATCATGTCAGCCACTGATTCTGTATGTGTGTGTGTGTGTGTGTGTGTGTGTGTGTGTGTGCTGTTTTCCTTCAGTTTATCCTTTTTATTGTCGACATTATTTTTCATCTGCTGATCTGCAGATGAAAGCAAACTTCTCACTCTTCATCTCTCTTTGATGCTTCTACAGTATCTGTTAGAGCAGAGTGCTCTGTGTGCGAGCTTGTGTGTTCTGTCTATGCGTGTGTTGTGTCAGCAGCAGCAGAGCACAGCACACACAGTGCTTTGCAACAGAAAATGTTGATCCCCGTGTATTTTCTGCTTGCTCTATAAGTTCCTTAATACAGCATCAATGGATTCAGCATTTAATCTCCAGCTTTCAGTCCCCACTCTACTGTGCTCTTTCACCTTCACTCCCTCTGCACACACACACACACACACACACACACACACACCTATTCACACATACCTTATACTCACACTCATATGCCCCTCATATATATCTCTTACATCCCATCTACTAAAGTCTGAATAATAGCAGAATACTGCAGTTTTGTTGCAGTGCTTGATCAAAAACAGCTGCAAGACTGAAATGTGTGGTTTGTGTAGGTCTGCATGCATTTAAGTGGATGTAACTATAGTTGTGGGAATATACGTATATGTGTGTGTCTGTGTGTAAGAGAGAGCGAGAGAGAGGGAGGGAAAGTGAGATTAGAAAGATTGCCAAGATATCTTTCTAGTCTGTGTGCTACTGTGGTGCCATCTTCTGGTAGGGAAGCACAACAACTTTGACTTAATTATACAGAAAGCAAGAAAACTGTGTGTGTAAATACGTTGGCATTAGGAATACGGAAATAAGGGCACTCAGCATGAAATGAAAAACACACTCATAAATAAAAAAAAATGTAATCATGTAATATAATGACAGACATAAAAAAATTCAAATAATTGCTGAAAGTTGGTTTTACATTTAGCATATGGAATACAATGACATGAAATTTATAGTGAATGTACATTATACAGAGAATAAAAGTACTATACAACCTGTAGAATATAGCAGCTTGCAGGATCTTTCAGTGCACATGCATACACACACACACACGCACAGAAAAAAAAAAATTCTCTCACTCTCACACAAGCATAATGTGAAGCCATTTCAATCATTTACACTGGCAAAAGAGGTGTGTTAATTTGTTTCAAGCGCTGTTCAGTCCTCTCAGTGAAATGTCCATTAGGGACAATGCAGTTACAAGGACCATCTCTTTTTGTTTTCCGTGATAAAGTTTGAAGTGACAGATTTTGTGACGCTAATATTCAGAGTGGATTGGAATTGGAGGTCTGCCAAAGGCCTGTGTGGGGAGAAGATAATTCATTCAGCTCTGGCTCAAACATGCATGAGCTCACATGCACACAAACGGTCTCTCCATCTGCAGTTTTCTTTTTGTGTACTGACACTGCTGCAGAAAAACAGAAAAAAAAAACAAGATGCACACATGACCGTGATGAATTAACAGGAAATGAATTAAGGAAATTTGTTCAAGATTTTGTATGGAAAGAGTTTTACACATGAATGTTCTAAAGGCTCACAAGCCTTTCATTTCTTTTATGTACACAAAATGCTGAGTATCTCATATTTACAGTCAGTGATAATGTTACAATACTGAAAACGGTGGTTATTTCAGTGCGTCCGTGAAGCTGCCATCACTATGAGACAGAAACGCGACTGAAAGCTGAAACGTAGATAATACTCTACCTCATTCATCTGCCTAACACTTCATTCATTGTCTTCCGTCATAGATCTATAAGACCCAAATCACCTTTAGAGTGTCAGAAATACACTCATTAAAATATTATGTACAGTAAGGACCACTCTGTCTAAGCCCCTGGAGATGCATGGAGCTTGCTAATAGTGCCCTTAACTTTGCCCTACCGCTGGATAGTTTTCTAAGTGGCCCACTGGTGTACTCTATAGAGGGAGGTGCTGAACCACTGCACTTTGGTGTATAAAACATTCAAGTAATGCCAGGAATCAAGAGTATCCACATGCACACATACCATTGTGGTGGATTTGCTACCAAAAATAAATCATGAAAAATGAAAGGAAACCAAATATTTGTTTACCATGTCTGCTCCCAGCTGAATCAGAGACATTCTTCTTTGTTAGTGTAACATTCAGCTTGTGCAGGGCCCCTTCATTTAAGATTATCTACTTCAGCAATTCATTTCTCATGGCAGAGACATGAACAGTATTGACTTTTCTTCAAAATAACCATCAGTGATTCTCAGGGACAGTGTGATATCTGTTGCTGATGTGTAGAGTAGAGGCTCAAGGCATTATTTAGTCCCCTGGTTGTGTTTTAATCTTCGTTAAGGCTAGACGATTTCAGGGTAATATTTGAAGACCTTGTAGATCCACTGTGTGTAGAAGGGCACATTGATGAAGATGCCAGGCTGGTTGGCCCTGGCACAGCCTCTGCCATGGACACTCACTCCAGCAATAACCCTGATGTCACCGTCTTGGCACACAAGCGGGCCGCCATAATCCCTCTGCAAAAGAAGAAATAGGTTGCACATTTTTGTACATCAGTGGTTAAGAAATGGCTATCATCAGTGTTTACACGTTTGACAGGGTTAAATCAAAAGCAAAATGTATTTTTTTATGCTCTCGTTGACAGACATTCCCACAAGTATATGTAAACATGGACAGCTTGCTTCCAAAGCTCAAAACCACAAAACCAAGGCTTTGATCACTGATGAAATTTAGTGCAACAGTCTCCAGCTGCTTTATTTACAATGGGCTGAATACTAAGCGTATGGATTCAAAGAACATTTGTTTGGGATTTAGATCAAACTGAGCTTTGAAAGTGTTATGTAGAACCAAGGTGCTAAAATTCTCATAAATTCACACTGGGAACAGTTACTTCTTCCAAAAGTCTGAAGGCCCACTCTTGTTTACCAACAAGGAGTGATGCACAGAATGAATTCTAGTGTGGAGTTTTCCTTCTCATCACTGAAACAAATATTTCGTAAAACACCTCACTAGGAAAATAATATGAAAAAAATATTAACAGTTTACCTCACACACTCCCTCATTCCTCCTGCCTCCTGCACAGATCTTGGTGTTGGTGATGTGGAAGTTCCCTCTGTGCATCTCTCTGCACCTCTCGTTACTGACAATTGGCAGGTTGACCGCCTTTAATATGTCATCATAGCCAGTGCCTGAAAGAGTTAAAAGCTGCACTTTACTGCCTCTGTTCTGTTGTAGTATATATATATAGCACAATTGTCACCACTGTAGAAGAACTCCTATGTTTTATTAAATAAATCAATCTTCCATGATCCCATCTAACTATCACTTAAACCTATTCTCAGTCATCAAGGAATTGGGAGCACATGCATGCATTTCCCACTCCCACCTTTAGGCATAAATAGATGTAGACATGCTGTTAATCAATCATTTGCATATAAAAAAAATGTTGTCTGAACCACCTATTATTAGACCCGGCAATGAAAACAATGCTATAGAACAAGCACAATTTGAATGAGTGTGAAATTGAGACTCATTGGAGAAGTGGAGACAAGGAAAGGTGTGTTGTTTGGTGGTCTCCGTTCAGGGATCGTGAACAGAAGAAAAGCTGAATAGCAAAAAGTAACTGAGGCCAGGAGTGCTGTCGGCTCAGAGCAGAAGACCGCGGCTGAGCTAAAAAAGTAGGGTTCAGATTATAAATGAGAGGCAAAAAAGTGCTTAAGTGTGTACAAAAAGAGTAGGAGGGCAATAGGAGGAGGACTCCTGCATTATCTACAGCAGAAGAATGCATCGCTTTGATTTTGGGCCACATAGCTTTACAAGAAAATGTCTTATAGCTGCATTGGTACGATCCTCCAGTGACGCCAGAACGGCCATCCTTACGCATCACCTTTACACACGGCTACAGCTATTTATAGTGTTGTCATTTGCACCTGTAAAGGCTTATCATTAGGTTAGTGATGTGTCAATCATCATTATTAAGTAAACAAAAATGAATTTGTGACAGTAAGATTAGCATTTTACTGAATAATTTACAAGAAAGTCTAAAATGAGAAACAAGAAAATAACGTAAAAAAGAAAATAAATAATTTTTAAAAATATATGAATTGAAAACATGTAAACAGCTAAAAATAATGCAAGCTGTTTAGAATTGGCTGTTTTGTTTATGTTAATTTCTATTTCTTACCCTTATTTTCATTTCCTCTTTCAACATCTTACACCCACCCAAACCATTAGTACGTACGTATGGTCTGAAGTATACGATGGGTGCACACATTCATCCTGCACATTCTGTCTTTATATAGTACATACCAGTTTATGTGTGGAGAAGACATATGCATGGTTTTTGTGCGTATACATCTGGCCGCTGGAGAGTAAGTTTATATACAGTAGCCATATAGTGAATGTAGAATTTTACCTTTGGTCTCACCCCATCCGTACATTTTACATATTGTTCCTTCTGGTATGGTGCACCCTGCTACAGGTAGTTGAATCGTATGGACATTGTTTACAGGTAGGGCAGGCCTGGAAATATTTAATGGACACAGAAAGAAAAGCACAATCAGCATCTTACATCCGCGGACACAAATGTATCCGAGTATATTCTTGAGATTGTTTTTCCAGACACTCACTTAGACAGCCTTATGAGGGCTAAACTGGAACCCTCAGGGCCACATATCACATGAGCTATGCTGACTTCCTGTCTCTTGGACAGGTCAGGAGCACCCTCTCGAATATCAGAGACTCCCAGCCACACCCGATACTCACTGAGGTCCGGAACACTGGAGAGGCACAAGACAGAGTTAATCCTTTAGATAATATTCCACATGTATTACTCTCTACTGGGCAGCTGTGTCAGACTGATCTGGAAAGACCGTAGCAACTGAAGAGAGTTAGATAGGCTTGAAAAAAAAAAGAGATATGTGAACTGAACAAATGGGGCAACTGTGGTTCAGTGGGTAGAGCGGTCGTCTCCTAACCGGAGGGTTGGAGGTTCAAATCATGGTGCCTGCAGTCCACACTTCAAAGTGTCCTTGGGCAAGACACTAAACCCCCAAGTTGCCCTCAATGGTTAGAGCCATTGGTTGAGTTGGTTTTGCATCGGAAATAAATTCCTTGTGTAACATGCTTTGCCAAATAAAGGTGATTATTAAATCATAAATTTAATAGAGATAACGCAATTATCTGAGGTTCGGGAGCAGGACCTGACCTGAACAATATCATTTCTTCTTTTAAATTATTTAAACTCTTCAAACCAATTTGCTTCCACTTTTTGTTACCCACCCAGTTATCCTTATATGGGGGTCCACTTGTGTCCTAACACAGCACAGGCCTCCTTAACCGTCCCCAAAACCATTGATTCCCAGCACACAAGTATCCATAAGCATTACATACATTTCAATCTGCACTCGTGAAGGCAGGTCCCAGCTAAGGAATTAGCTTGTGGTTATAAAAAAAAATTGTTGTTGACAGTTTAAGGTTCAAGAAAAAGGAAATAAATTACATTAACAGATATTGAGTGTTGACGTTACCATGAAGAGAAACATTGTCTGTCAGTGAGTACCCACTCGTCTCGTATTAGCGAACCCCCACACCAGTGCACCGACCTGGAAAGAGCATAAAAGATAATTGGCATATAAAGGATTAATCTAAGTCCTGTCAACACTGTGAATTCAGGGAAATCCAGTTGTTCCCCAAATAAGCTACATTTGAAGGGCGCAACATGCAATATAAAAATATAATAATGCATCGCCAGTTCAGAATCACATCTCAGACTTTATGGTGGTAATACTGTATTAGTGATACTGTACAGTATAGAGTTATGTCTAATATGTACCATGTGGACAGCCATGCTCACTATAATTTAACTGTTTTACAATTCTGTCTTAAAGGGCTATTTCATTGCATTGTTTACAGAAGAAGAAAAAGTTTGATAAATTTCTGTCTGAAGTACCTTAAATTGACACAGTCATTGCCTCGACCATACAACTCAAAATGGAGCTGCATGTACTTCACTGTCCTCACTTTAACAACATGTAATCAGGTTCTTTTACAAGTAGCTGAGCTATGTTTCTTTAAGGAGCTACTGATGTTTGCATGAGTATGTTTTTTTTCTCAGCATAGTGGAAAGGCCCCTGAAACGGCATTTGAAAAGGTGAAAACAAAAAAACAATTCCACAGAAATTGTTATGAATTCAGGGGTGGTCTGGCCTGGATGGCCCACTGTTCTTCTTCAGTGATGGGGAAAATGTGTAGAATATCAAATGTCGCTATACCCTTTCTGTATGCTGACCATCCAGCCGCCGTCTGATATCACTGGACTTCCTCCGACAATTCTGGTTCTCTTATGGATAAAACACCCCACAGAGGACAGCTCAGCTTGAAAGGCAGAAACACACAGATATTTAAATAAATCTCATGTCTTGTAAAATACATTTTATTTAAGACAAATATATATTTTTATATTTAATTGATGATGACACATGTACAGAGAAAAAAGATTCCACTGTGACAACATCATGTCCTGCATCATGTCCTATAATAGCTGGACATGCTCTAAAAGGGACTCCATCAGGAGAACACCATTGAAAACACCATTATTCTCCTTGGAGAGCAATGGTGGTCAAATACAGATCAGCAGCTGAGCCGCTTGCAAACATAGACAGGCCGACGGGCGACAGAGGCACTCACCCAGTGGAATTGTGTTCAGTGAAGCATCGCCTGCACAGAGGACAGGAGACAAACAAGGGATCAGGGAGTATTAGCTGATACAAGATAAGAGGCGACCTCACACAGGGGTGTAAATTTCATGGCGGGAAAAAAGCTACCCCAACCAGAGCTCTTGTATTTGTTTAGCAAGTCGTGATCATTTTGTTGAACCAGGAGCGCTTTTATTAAATGTAATAACCTTTAGAGAACCATAGTCATGTGTTTATGCTGATCATTTTCAAATGCACGACAGTTTTAGGTTTTAGCTGGGATGTAAAGTATAAGCTAGATCTAGTAAATTGGCCAAAACATGGAAAATGACTGGTATAGGCTTTAACAACTGATAGAAATTTGGTATAACATCCCTTTCTAGCCAGTAGCCAGGAGCATGATGGATCCCTGAATAGTTTTGATATAAACACAATGCCATTACAACAAAATCATCAGCATAGACACATGAAAATGCACACACAGTCACAATGCCTCTGGCTCTTGGTCCATGTGGAAATACTTAGAAAGAACCTTCCCGTCTTCGTGATGAGTTGTGAATCTCCTCTGACACACACTGACCTACAAGTGTAGACAGATCTACGCACTGCAAATAGAGAGCGCGTGTGTTGGTGAGACAGACAACCAGAGTGCAAACAAATCTACACTAGCACGAAATATGACAAACTTTCATTTCACACAGTCTCACCATATTTTTCCTCCCTGTGTGTCTATGTGTGATTGTGTGTATCTGTGAAGGTATTGCATGTACACACATGCATGCACTCACATGGTTTTACATTGCAGTAGTCCCAGGGTATGGCAGAGTTGTTGGTGTAACACCAGGGACCATGTTTGTCTTTATCAGGGTTTCTGCAGTAGTTTCCCTCCAAGCCAACCATCAGCACGCCCCTCTCGCCACTGGACAAACGCACAAAACAAAAGGAAGGTTTGTTTGTTTTTCTTTGTCTTTCCCTCACACATACACACTTTAAACAGGCTTGTTTGGCTGTTGATATTGATTTACTAGTGATTTATAATTATAGGTACAAGCTGAAGAAATTTTGTGTAGTGTGACTGTCCAGATTCTGGACAGTCACACTACACATAGGCTGTCTTCTGTCAGACAATAAGAAGGCAATTTGTAAAGGAATTACTCACTGAGACAGCATGCACCCACCTACACATATTTAATGCATGCTCATACAGACATATCCCACCCGAGTGTGTATGTGAAAGAATTTTAAAAACCACAAAAATAATTCTTTCCCACACTGCATTCCTTGATCAATAAGGTAGAGAAGTGTTAGAAAAAAAAGAGAGACATGAGAGGGGAGTCTGGGTACCAAATCACAGCAATCCAGAGTTTCAAATGCTTGTTTGTGTACATTGTACTTCTAGCAGCTAGCATAACAGCCAGCTCTCACTGTGACTCCCTAACCCTGACTCTTGACCCCTGGGCAGGAGCCAAGCAATGGAGCTGATTGGCTTTGAAGTGTTCTTACAAAAGTGGGGATGGGGGTCAAAGGTGAGAAGTGAAGTGTATATCCCCCAGCCAAGTTATCACTGGGAGTCATTCCTGTTGAGTTAGGTCATCTTCTGGGAGACTCTTCTCTAGCCATTAGGAGATGCTGGAGAGGCTAGTCACAGCACCAGGAGCCATCCTCTCCTTTGAGAAACAAGAGGCTAACAACAATAAGACTAAACTAGAGGTCAATAATAGGGCACCTCCCCTCACTAACCACCACCTCTCAGGTTCACACACATGGTTCTCAAAAACAGAGACACATTCTGCTGCACACTGAGGCTATTATGCACAAGGAGTATAGCAGAAAGCTAATTTCCCAATTATATGTTCTCCTATAAAACCACTCTTTTGCATGTTTTCCCACTTATGAGTACTTTGCTTTGATTCCATTGAGCTCCTGTGTTAAACTCTGGTGGATTATACACAGTATATGTAGAAGAGCTGTGGGAGATCTCTATTTTAAGCAGACACACTTGTCTGCAGCGTTGTGAAGGTGCGGGTCTGTTTTGTACATTATAGTGAGGGTGGGGAAACTTATTAAGTAAAAAAAAAAAAATAACAGAAGAAGAAGAAGAACAGCAGGGCTTCAAGGGGCCAACCTGTTGTTGTGGTCTGTCCAGGGAGCACAGAGCAGGTTTGATCTAGTCCTTGACTGTTCTCCTTGGTAATTCTCTCCAAAACCATCGTAGCAGTCTGGATTTGGGGACAACAAACAGACGTCATCTACAATGATGCCATAAAAAACATGGGTCACAAATATGGTTTTGAAACTGTCCATCACCCTGCATTTTATTTGTGTATGGGAGCATAGTCAACCTCAAGGAGAAACCACAACACACCCTCAGAGGGTTTATAATCCCAGAGCAAGGCCACAATCGAGAATTGTCCCTTGGGAAATTTGAGTTTGTGTACTCAGCTATAGATCTACATTTTTGACTTCCAAATCTCTTGCTATCCCAGAAAGACTTTCATTCAGCATGAATCCTTCCACTCCATCTTCTACTGTCCAGTGAGACCTGATGGTCCTGAGCTGCTGTCAAATTTTGTTTGCATGAGGCAAGATGGCCAGTCCTTCCCACAGTCCTGTAGAGCTACAGTTCTCCACAGGGACACAGTAAACGTGGTTACAAACCAAAATGTGAGGTCAAAGGGTTTCATGTGAACTCCGTGGTCCAAAAAAATATGAAGTGCTGAATATTTCTCTGCTTTAGATGTAATGAAAATCAGTTTTTCCCTTGCTGATTTGATTGTCAAATAAAGCTGTCTCTCACCACTAAAAGGCTTGTTTTGGGTGCCGCACTGAGGGATGTTGGTGCAGAACATTGTGCGGACTCTTGGGTCAGTAGTGAAGCACCAGGGTAATTCTTGGCCATCTGGATTTCGACAGTAGTTTTCTCTGAGGTCCCTGGAAAACACAGAGAAAGTCTTCCTTACTCTGCTTGGATGTAAGTGCATGTAGGTGGGTGGGAGAGTGGACGACTCTCCTATGTGATGGTCTGACTCACTTGCAGGGGTAGGCTTGAGGTAAGAATGTGTGGTTATGGGGATACTGAGAGTCCCAGCGCTGACAGGTGAGTCCGGTGGGTGTCACATCGATCGTGCCCCTGTAGCCCTCTCCTCTGCCCTGGTAACACTCATTTGTTTCTACCACATTACTTTTATGAGGCGTTTCTGTGGAAGACAAAGGGAGAACCTATTCTTAAGCCAACTGAGAAAATCTTAAGATGGGAACAGCCCTTTAAGAATGTCAAAACCTACAAATACCAAACTCCCCACACTTAATGACTTACATCCTAAAGCAAACACACATCTTGAACAGCTGAGTAAATGCAGAGGACAACACAGTGAACAACAGGTGGCCTATAATTACAGTCATGTGACTAAAGGAAATCTCTCAATTTCATGTTTGCATGCATTTTCACATGTGATTTTTCCTAAATAGAATTGGACATCAACCGAACATGGTTTTGCTTGCTATATACGCTATTATGTGCAGAGAAGAAGGCAAATAAATGATAAAAAACCAAATATGGTTGACATAGTGGACTGAGAGATGTGGAAAACAATGACTGGAAACTGATGATTGAGATGGAGGCAATGGAATGTTATAAGAGAAAGGCAATCTTCACATGAACTATGGTCCTGCATTGATGAACCAGATGCCAAATGATAGATTATAAAATAATATTGTTGACAATGTGTGGAACACCACACATTTTTTTGTTTTGTTTTGTTTGCCTGCCATTTGTAGATAGATTTCTATTACTAATCCTCCCATTCACATACATGATGTAGAGGCCCCAGCTCCAGTCATAAAAACCACAAAATGCAGGATTTTATCCCCCAACTGTCAGCACCAAATGGTTTGGACTGTAATAAACAACTTGCTCCCATCAGCAATGATGGCCAAATCAGCTGGCCTAAGAATTCAAATGTGTCCACACCATCAGGTCTTAAAGTGTTAACATTAAAGCTGCAAACACTTCCTTTATGTGGGTACACCCAGGTTGCTGTAGTGCACGCACATACAATAATGAATGTGAATGCTAACTGATTTAGCACTGCGGAAAAAGTGTGACAATGTCTTTGACATGAAGAATGGCTAAGCAGCCCTAATGTCTTGCCCACCTGCTTTCCACAGACTAACTCTATGGGTTTGGAAGACAATAAGTATAATGAGGTTAATATAGCCGAAACTCTAAATACAAGGCAGAAAGTCTTAGCTGCACAACTTTTCTTTATAAATAGGCTGCTCATAATGTACAAATTACACAAGTTCATTAGCCTGAACATTGTGTATGGTTGTATCCAACAATGTGAAAAGCTGCAGACCACCGATACTTCAAAACATATTTCTGCCCATACAGTATGTCTAAATATAGATATGCACCAGTTGTGACAGAACAGAGTTCGACAAAAGAATATTTTGTGGTTTTGTCTCTTGGTGTCTGCCTTGTTTTGATTAAGGCTAACTGGGCTGTAATCTTGGTCTGTTCCCAACAAACTCTCATATCAGAGAGAGAGAGAGAGAGAGATGGAGAGAGTTCAGTTGGTTGGAGATGGATTTTAAAGGGGGAAAAAAAGCAGTGGGGAACAGTGAATCACTAGGTCCACATGGAGCAGTGCCATCGAGTAAACATGGTGCCAGGACTGCTGATGATTCTAGCAGGCAAACAGGCCAGTAACAGACTCAGAAGAAAAAAGCTGAGCCCAACAAAAACACCACTGCTTTCTCTCTCATTTTTATGTCCATGAGGAACGGAGGCCGTGCTAGTGACTTGTCACTTTTTGCATGGCCAAATAAGAGCATAAAGTAAGCTGTTGGTTTTCTATAAATGTAGATACACATGAAAAGTCAGATGCTTACACTAGTATAAAGTCATTTAAGTAATCAGCTTGTAGTGTATATATGACTGGTGTTGTGTCTCTATGTCTAACAGGTTAATGCGGAGCAGTAACTGAGCCCTGTGCAGTTTGACCGTCACACGTAAGAGCTGGCAAAGAACAATAAACAGCAGGTTAGTAGGGAAAAATAAACATTCTGGCTATTAGAGAAGACATAACAGAAAGCCAAACCTAAGACGAGAACTCCGTGCATGTGACAGCTAATGAGAGGGACAGGGGTAGTTAAATAAAAGTTAGTTGAAACCTCTGGTGCAGTCAGTCACACTTTAGGGGCTTGTATAAAAACACAAACACACCCGTGCACAGACATGCATAGATTTCCACTTAACATGCATGACAAATGCTAATGCATTCAACCACACACAAACAAACATGCATTCGTGCTTACCACAAACTTTGATGTTGCAGTACTCCCAGGGTGTGTTTGGGTCTGTGGTAAAGCACCAGGGTCTGTGGCGTCCATCTGGGTTCCTACAGTAGTTATCATCCAGGCCCTTTTCAGGGTACCTAATGCAAAACATGCAGCATACTCTATAAGCTATAAAAATGAGAGGCATAGCAGAGAACAACTATATCACTATTGCACAACTCTCTAACTTGAAGTTAAGTAATAGTGGCATATGCAGTAACACTAATTATCACATCATTCTTAAAGCCCACAGGTACCTGAAAAGAGAATCAAATTTCCTTTTTTCCTACTGAAACCTTATGAAAACAGAGCAGAAGTGATGAGACAATTCACCACCGCATGCAACTGAAGTATTAAAACTGGAATGGTGCAAGGACACATGTGTGTATCACAGCACAGGGAAATGGGGAAGATAATAAGCTGTACCGCTACAGGTGTTCTACAGCAAGTCGGCCCAAAGTCCCACATCCCCTCCTGGCCTACAGCCTCCAGGCGTGCAGTATCAAGCTTTGGGACCCTCTCATTACATTAGTGCCATGAGCAGTCTGGGGCCTCGTTTACACAAACACTGAGATGATTAAGGATGTGTTAACAAGTCCCAACTAATCCAGACCACCTGCTATCCAACTAACTGGAACAATCTCTTGACACAACACACACCCAACATGCACACACATATACAAAAGCAGAGCTGATGTAAGGAATATTAATACACAATATATGGTCTCTCTAAAATAGGCATAAGCTTATCTCATGGCATGGGCATGAGCTTTTATAATCTGCTATAAGCTTAAAGGAAATTGGGCCAATTAAGTCAGAATGAAGAGTCTCAGCATAATAGTGCTAAAAGCACATGATTAGAGGCTGGATTCGGATAGTGTTCCTTCAGAGAAAGTTACACTGGTTGAATCCAAATCACTTCATCTCCAGAGTTAGTGCACCACGACCACATGCAAGTATTCTATTCTTGTGTGTTTTGCTATTATATTAAACAGTATATATCCATTTGTGTGGGCTTAAATTTGATTGAGCAGACTGACTGAATGTGATCAAGTGTGATGCAGACACGTGTGTGTGTCACCTCTTGGGATGGTACAGATGTTTGTGTGGTTCATCCAGGTCCCAACGCTGGCATTCCTTTCCACTCTCTGTGTGGTCCATGGGTCCTCTGTAATCTTCCCCATTGCAGCTTATACACTCCACTAAGGAGCAACAATACACATATCCACAAACACACAGAGCAAACAGCTTAGAGAAACACAGTCATGCTATCAACACAAACCTCTGAACAAAATTCAGTATCCTCTCTTTGATGTGTCAGTGACATTGCAACATAGTAAAGAGTGTGCTTACACAATGAGACACACGACCAAAAAATATGAGAACCAAAAAAATAAAAACACAATACTTTTAGTAGCCATGCGCAGAATAGTAAAAGTGATTATGCAACATTGTGAAATAAAACCCCTTACTATATTATATTTAACAGATCCCATTAAGTTTTAGACATTATATGCACATACACCTAATGTATGGAAACACACATTACTGTATGTGTCACACTAATGAAGGCAATGGTCTCTTTGACTTACATACAGCACCATTTGTTGCGTGGTGAGTAGTGCACACTGACTGGTGCAAACAGCAGAGAGCATGCAGATTATAAACAGATGTTTATGGGTCCGCTGCTGTTATGACAGATCACATTTAATAGTACTGGCTGCATGTGTCTGTGTGCTTGCATACACCATGTTTGTATGTCTGTGTGTATGTTTCCCATTAGGACCAGCTAATTTCTGGAGAAACCATTCCAGTCATTTTTATCTGAATGAACGCATACTTGTATGTAGAATATAAAGTCCACATCTCTGTTGTACAACTTGTGATAACCCAGCGGGACACCATATGTGAGCTGGAGAGCAAGAAGGATTCGTCTCCTGTCTTACTGAACTACAGCCTGGTTCCTCATTGCTGTGATCCATTGTCATACATGCAGAGGAAACAACCCCCCTGACAACATGAATCCCCAGGGATTAGATAACACAGGTCATTATCATCCTTCTTCAGGGAGACATCAGCGCCTGACAGTAATATTGCATGATTTAAAATAGAGGCAGAAACACTGATGTGAAAGTGATTTTCTCTCATCAAAACTGGATAAATATATAAAGTTTTATTTATACAAACCCATAACTCGAACCTAATGGTTTTCTTCTATGTATACCACAGGGATGGATAAAATAGCTAACAGTTTATGTATAGGAAATGACAGAGGGATTAATGTCCTCTTACATTCCAACATCAGCTTCTTTAAGTTCAAACTATTTACAAATCCTGAAGCTGATGGAACGAGAGAGGACAACATAACCTGAACCACACACCTGGAAACAGCTGTAGCTGGCCTCAGAAAATAAAGAAAACCTGTGCATCCACACACATACTCACACAGACGTAGAGTGGAGCACAGTTAGAGCCAGCGAGGCTAAGTCTGGGGAACTATGTGATTGCGTAATTTGCTGCCGCTCATTTCAGACTATCAAGCCTCAATTGGTGAGGCAATTTGCAATGTGGAATGGGCATTATCTTAAGATGACTTTCAGACACATTGTGTGTATGTGTGTGTGTGTGTGCAGCCTACCCTGTGAACACTGTGGTATGCCACACTCCTGGTGTCTGAGGTGGGGTCGGGGGTCAGTGGTAAAGCACCATGGGCCTACAGTGGAGTTGTCTGGGTTGCGGCAGTAGTTTCCTCTGAGGTCCTTCTTTCTGAACCTCTTAGACATGAATCTGTTCAAAAGAAAAGCTGCAGTTACAGAAACAGTCACATGTACCAAAACAAATTGCCAATTATCTCAGCTAGCCTGCAAAATAACGTCTTTTCAAAAAACACCCAAGGACACTGTTTCATCTCTGACACAATAACAAATTCTTCATTGCTTTATGAGAGAGCTGCTGCTTCTGACAGCTGAAACCTTCTCAGCAATTAACAAGGGTAAAAGTAAATGATGGCTATGCCAAAGGGTCAAACCGTCAATGACATACTGTTGGTAATGAGAGAAAAAGACACATTAATATGTAGAAACCATGATGGCTTTCCATGAGGCATGTTCTACAGTACATGTAGTATAAACACATTGACAAATGACTCATATCTTCTACATCAGGCAAGCATATGGTCACCGGTTGTGATGATGGACACAGTGTAGTCTTTGAGTCACAGTGTGTTTTTCCAAGTGATGATGAAAAGATAAAAGTTCTGAAGTAGTGTTTTTGTGGAGCGGGTAATGACGGGTCCAGAAATGAGAGTTTCTCTGGGCAATCAAAAAAAGAGGAGAAACCTTTCACTGATAAAAATATATGTGTGTGTCAGTTTCCCCTGCCAGTAAGGTGACTGATAAAACATACAAAGCACCTGGGTTTAATTATCTGATCTACAGAGACATCAACAGCAGTCTGATAAAGCTGATTCACAGCTGGTATTGCCCTGTTTATTTCATCTGCTGTGCCAACAGCTCACTACAAACCCTTTCAAAGCCATTTAATACCACTGATGATTGGAGAAAGGCGGCAGCATGAGGTTTAAAGATAATAAGAAAATATTCTACAATATGATTCACAAAAATGTATGTAATTACTAGGGAATAATTGAGGAACAATCTGGGTCTAGCCTACTTCCCTAATAACTTCTAATGTAGGGCTCGAAACATTAGTTACTAGAGAACTGACTGGGAGAGTGAATCAGGGCTAAGTCGATCATACTCTCCACTTTCTTCATTAATCATTCTTGATTACCTACTGTGGACATATCATCTTCTGAAAACCACACCCAAACCTTCCTCGCTCTCCATTGACTTTGTATTGCAGGAAAGCACCTCTTTAACAATTCAGTCTTTTTACAAAAAACTGAAAAGTGCCTAAAAGCTGCTGTCTGTGTTAGGATGCACTACCAACAAGGCAAACTACCTAGAGTTAAAGTTTGAAAAGCTGAAAAGCTATTAGGCAAACATAGTTAAGACATAGGCGGTATTAGCAGGAAAAATGGGGAAACAAGGATCCTGAACTACTCAATATGATGTGTCACTTTACTTGAGGGTACACATAAATGGTAGCCTATGTAATGATGAGGTAATCATGAGGGACTACTGTACCGGACAGAATGTATCAATGCCTGAGGAGGACATAAGCTGTACAAGTAATGGAGAAGTGAAGGGGTCACATAACACCTAACAGGACAACAGGGAGTAAAGGAGCTACTTCATAGGCTAATTAATCAGTATCATGTATGAGTACTGAGGGCTCACAAAAGTAATGTTTTTCAGTAATGAGTAATGAATGAGTAGTCACTCCTTTGTGCTCTACTGTACACTGTATGAATGGCAGGTAATCATGAAGAAAGTGACTTAGCCATAATTATGGACTAATCATCACCTAATGATTCACTGATAAGTATCTCCCAGACAGTTCTCTAGTAGCCAGTCATTATTTACTATACAGTCCTACAGCACATTAGACATTACTAAGGACGTACTTATGAACGACGCAGATTGTTCCCCATTTGCTCCTCATTTACTCTCTAGTAACTACACACATTTTTCTGTATAAGTGTTACTGATAATAAAGCTCCAAGATGATTCTCTGATGGTTTTCATATCTGGGACATGATAAACTGTTTTTCTTATTTCCATCTCAGCTCTCAGTGTACTTCATTTTCCAACATTGCCCAGCCTTGACACAATATAATGCACTGCAAACATAGCCACCATAGAACTGAGTGTTTTTCTTAACAGATATGATGGGAAAAAGTAGGTTGTTTCCAAAGAAACCCTTTGAATATGTGTCATTGTTTTTCTTATGATTTTCTTTTCTTAATATAGTAATTTGTGCCACATTGTTGTGTTTCAGAAACCTTGATGACAGTTTGTTTCAGCTCAGATAAAGTATATCTACAGAACAGTGACTATGAAACGTAACACTTTGTTAGACATTGTTGCAAAGAATACAGTTATTTTGTTAGCAGACAGCCACTAAAGATCAGTCCTTCTTTCACTTTCATAATCCTATATCAAGCTTGTTTTATCTTATTTTATTTTTACTCCACTTAATTGATTTCTTTTTCTATTAGGAGATACACTGGCTCCAGAAGTATGGCTGGATTGACAAATGAGCTTTATTTGGGAATTTTACTTCCAGAGGGGGTAACACTTTGTTAGACATTGTTGCAAAGAATACAGTTATTTTGTTAGCAGACAGCCACTAAAGATCAGTCCTTCTTTCACTTTCATAATCCTATATCAAGCTTGTTTTATCTTATTTTATTTTTACTCCACTTAATTGATTTCTTTTTCTATTAGGAGATACACTGGCTCCAGAAGTATGGCTGCATTGACAAATGAGCTTTATTTGGGAATTTAACTTCCAGAGGTGCCTCAAGTTTAACCACAACCCTCTTATTAGATATGAGCCTGATCCCAGTAAAATACACACAAATATGCACACACACACACACACACACACACAGACACATACATCTAGATAAACAGTAGGACCACAGCAGGAAATGATCTGTGACTGTATAAAGTGTTACAATGCAGTCAGTCCAGATGAATGACTGCTCCCAGGAGTCTAATCAGCCTCTAATATATTATACTCATGCACACATATACAGACTAGCCTCTAGCTACCAGCTAATTGCATCACGAACAGGCCAACACTAACAGTAACGAGCAGATTTAACATTCTTTTGTTTGACGTGAGAAAAACGCATCCGGCTCTTACTTGTGTTCATGAGGAATGGGAGAGGCCCAGGCCTGGCACAGGATCCCACTGACTGTCACTGACCTCCGGCCTCTGTAGCTCTGACCTGTACCCACAATGCACTCTCTGACATAGTCTGAAGGAGAGACAGGAAGAGAAGGGATGAGCAGAGACACAGACACGGAGACAAATCTACAGTAAAAGACAGTCAGTAGAAGTGATGAGCCAACAGCCTCAGAGCAGAGTTGTGAACGCACAGCCAGTGAGGATGATGAAGAAAACAGACTGAAGGAGATGTTCAGCTACAATACTGAGTTTAACAATGCCAAAATCCAAATCTGTTTTCCTAATCTTCTGCAAAGCATTTGGACTGAGTAAAATAAGCCACACAGCATGAGGGTTCACTGTTGTGGTCAGTCAGAGTGAAATGGAGCGGGGGTTTTCCATGGTTTTTGCAAACACCACTTATTAACAGAAAATGAGTGATAATGTGCTGCAACACAGTAAACATGACAATGGTCCTTGTCCTTCCTTATCTTCCTCTTGAGGACTGATAACACTACAAAGCTAAAATCACTGAAAAAATGATTTATGTTTACAGTATAACATAGTTTAAAGCAACAAAGAACAGTGATGCTGATTGGAAGTATTTATTTATTTATTTATTCATTCATTCCTGATGAGAAGATATGTTGGCAGGAGGAGACAACACTATAGGATCAGCTGGTAGAAGGTACAGTAGAAGAACAGTAGAAGGCACCTTTCTTTTGATAGAGTTGGTAGTTCAAGTCCTGTTGACTCTGAGCTCCTGGCGAGTTCCTGTCGAATGACAGCCACTGGCATCTCTTGTTTTTATGATCATAGAGGAATGCTCTGGAGAATGAGGAGGAGCGGAAGCAATTCAGAAGAGGAAGAGTGAAGTACATAGTGATAATTTTTCAATAAATTATTGATGTAAAAGACAACCCTGGGCAAAATAGAACAGCTGTTACATGAGTATGTGTTGCACTGAGGATGTCTACCAGGCTAGATGAACAACAATGCATTATACATTTGAAAAACATAATTAAGGAACTTGAGGAACCACCACTTGGCACTTTGTGTATTGACAGCTTTTCTAAAAGGGTAATCCCATAGACATACTTGAGGAACCACCACTTGGCACCTTGTGTATTGACAGCCTTTCTAAAAGGGTAATCCCATAGACATACCTGCAGGTGAAGGGGATTCTTTTGTTGCGACTACAGGATTTGGCACACCTGGCCATGCTCAGCTTCCTACTTTTGGTCAGGTGGGAAGAATCAGGAGACAAGACAACCAGTTGGATGCCATCAGTCCTCTGGTAGTCCTGGAGTGCATTTCGTCTGCCCTCTGATACACAATTACAGTACGTATATGTCCATGACCATTAAGCAGCATTTATGTCACATTTTATACATTTAATTGATATTTATCTACACACTGTAAATTACAGATTAGACATGTCACAAGCAGCTGGTTGGGGTCAAACTACATCTTGACTTTAGGACTTTGTCTACTTTGCCACTGCAAGGCTTGCGGTGATGTATGCTAGCCTTCTCATTACAAGAGGTAATATATATTCATTAAACAACACACAAACACACCAGCCAGCCCTTGTCTGTGGTATGGGATGCACAGTGGATGACCTGCTAATTAGCCCAGACACACTGAGAACGCTGGGTAACAACATGACAATGTGAAAATTAGTCTGCTTTAACTGTTATTAATTTACAGGCCATAATGGGATGCAAAGTCATTTATTACTGGCCCCACTGAATACACAAACACACAAACTAACTCTACCATTAACACTAGAGCCAAGTGTAAACCATCAAACAGCTGTTTGTTGTAAGGCCTGGCCAAAATACCCTCACAATGAAGGCATTTAACTAAAATGCATAGAAGGACATGCAAACACACACTGAAGGGAATCAGTATTGCCTGTGTGTTGCTAGTTGTTGGCAGGATCAATCAGAGAGCCAGTTACACATTTACATTTAGAGAGAAAACTCATTCCACCTCCTTTTCTCTCCTTCTCCTGCCTATTTCAACTCTGCCTATATGCACTTAAGTCAATTCAAGAGCTTACACACTCAGAAACTTGGTGTTTCTTTTGGAAAGGCGCCTGAAATTTTTGGAATTGTAGTGTAAACAAACGAGAAAAAATAGACATAGGATCTGGTGATTTATATTCAGTATTTGGATGGCCTATTTTGGTGATGTGAGGACCAGGTACATCATATCTGTCCGATCCTCAACTTGATTTCACCGGTTCGGCAGTTTCCCTGCCGAGTGCATATAGGAGCAATGAGCCACGATATCGCACTCTGTTGGGGCCACGGGATAACTGAACCACTAATTAAATTTTAATATGGCTCATTTTTCGGGACAGTGGCTTATATCTGTTCACTTTATAGTACTGATTTATCTCGTGATCCACTCAGATACCGTATGACTCAGTGCGTCCCTATGCGGTATGCGCTCTGACAGAGCGGTTGCAAGGAAAGAGTTAGGATCTAAAAGCCCCTGGTTCGTCAGTAAAGACAACACCATCGTTTTCATCTCCGTCCATAATACGTGAATCTCCTACAGGAATGGTCCACTTAAGAAATATTCTCATGACTGTGTTCTTACACTCTGCACACACTGTAGATGGGAAAATAATTGATCATTTTCTCAGAGGATCCCGATATCAAAACTCACAAAAACACCAGCCAATACACTGTATAGATTAATAGTCTACCGTAGAGTTGTCGGGATATAGGAATAAAGCCATTCCTAACTGTTTGACAGGCTGTTTTGCGTGGAGCGCAAACCAATCCGTCCTGCCACCAGCAGCAGCCCAGTGGCGGAAGATAGGCAGCAATCTGAGCAGTAGTAAATAGTTTTCGGAAAACTTACCAGAACAAGAAGAAATGACGAAGAGTGCGATAATTAGCCTGTAAATCCACATCGCCGCGTCACAGAAACACACACAAACAACTTGAAAGTGCTGCCTGCTGTGCTGTAGAACTGCAACCAGAAGATGTTGCCTCCACCACTGCACAGATGATGCGTCTCCTCTCTAAGTACTTCCTCGCCTCCTCCCCTCACTCCCTCCCGCGCTGTGCGTGCGTGTGACTCCCCCTCTCTCGACCTCTGCTTTTCTCTTATCTCTTTCTGACATTGTCGCTGTCCATCCATACCTCTTCAGGTTTCATTTATGTGCCATTGAATATGGCTGAACAAAACTTTAGGCAACTTGTGGTTCTTTATTGCTCCATTTCTTTCTTTGTTGTCTTTGCTTTGCTCCCTATGCTCCCGTCTTTCCTTCCATATAATACAAACCCTAACAAAACCTTCTATTTACAAATAAAACAAATTATAAACTACTGTCAACATTTAATAAGATCACTCCTGACCAGGTTTACTGGAGATGCTCAAGCAGAAATCCAAAAGTGGGGAAAGCATCCACACATATACATTCATGTTAGTTTTTGAGGCAAGCTTTAGGTCAGAGACCTTCAAGCATCATCAGGGAAGTTTCACTTAACAAATTTTTACTAGTAAAGTTGAATAAACAGTGAGGTTACTACAAATACACATATGATCATGTCTGACTGAGCTGTTGGAGAATTAGCTGAGCACTAGTAATTCATCAGATTGTGTCCATCCCTCTGTATCACAGCAGCATCCCACTCAATTATTCTCTTGTGTGATTTTTTAAAAATCATTTTAATCACTAAGCTGCACAATTGTCCAAATTAAGCAGATATCGGCTGCCACTTGTCAGCAACAGGAAACTCAGTGGGGACGTAAAAGAAAAAGGGGAGTGTGTGGGGTTGTTTACACTCTACACTGCCCCCCACCCCCCATCACACACACACACACACCACCCAATCTCAGACCAGAAGTGAGGTTACAAAGGGGGTGGGGTGGGGGGCGGTTGAGGAGAAGTCATGCCTATCCATCTCCAGAGTGTCATCTCTATTTCCAGTGATGACAACATGAGATAGGAGATGTGACACTTAGCTGACCTTAGCATTTTCTCTTAACACCTCTGATGTGACAGTCCAGTTCTCCTGTGACACCCTGATAGGGGGCATAATAAAGAGAAATATGAGTATCTAAACAGTGAAGATTGAAGATAACTGCAAGGTGGGGATTCCCGGTATTTTTTTTAAACTCACACCATGTGCGTAAAAAAGCACAAAGGAATCGATGGATAAATATGTAGGAGGAGAAAGATTTGATCTCTGTCTTCTCTCTGGTTCAGTGAGTAATGTTCCTGCAGCTTCCTGAGAGGGCTACAGAGTCATTTGCAATAATAAACAATCAGCCATGAGTCAGATACTTTCACTGGAGCGGAGCACAAGTCTCCCTGTTTCTTTCTCCTTCTCTACCTTCTCTACCTTCCATCACTGACATACACATGCAACAAGACCACATATACTGCCTCTTGCAGGCAAACACGCATTCAGGCTTGTGTTCTTCTGTCCTTCCCTCATATATAAATTCACAAACACGCATGCACACACATAACAAACAGCAGATGACTGGGTAACCTTCACCAGTCTGAGCCCACAAAAAAAAACCTCTCATCACCACAGTCTTGTTACTGACTCTCCTAGCAAGAATTCAGTGGGTGTTTGTACTGCGTCTGACAGTCACGGCTTCTGCTAGAAGATGGAAATTAGAGAAACCCAGTAGCCCACTGCCTTACTCGTATGGGTGCCGTCACCATTCAAGACTCCTCACATCTGTGCTTGGTTATTGCCAGAAACTTCATATCTTCATGCAGCTGGTAATAGAAGCAGAAAATACAGTGGGAGATGGAGATGACATGGAAAATGAGGAAGGTGACATAGAGTGTTAGATGAAGAGCAAAGTAAGAAAAATGGATTGACTATAGCAGGGAGGTGCAATACAGATGAATGTACTGAAGACTGTCTGTCTGAGTGCATATTTGTGGAGTGTGTGGAGTATAAATGAATTTCCTGTAGATTTGTTCGGAAGTTTAGTGTGCATTCCACGAGTCGTGTTGCGTACCATTATGTCTCTGTACGTGTGTATGTATGTGTCCATATGTGCAAGTTTTCATCTGCAGCAAATTAGTTGAACCTTTTTGCGAACTCTAATCGTTCCAGCCTCTCTTCCCGTTTCCAGCCATATGACCTTCTGTACCAGAGTTGGAATGGGATGGAAAAAAGAAGGGATGACAGAAACAGGGGACAGACAGTGTGATAGTCCTAGTGAGACAAGGAGAGATAAGCAAAGTGGAAAAGGAGTCTGAGGAAGCGTGGGAGTACAGAGCAGAGGTGGCTCAGGTATTTCACTCTAACGAGAAAAGAGACACATTTAATGGTTGTGTGAGTGTGATGGGGTTAGGGATGACATTGGTGGGCCTAGATGTTGTAAACACAGATACTGTGTCAGGAGATCCTCCTTTAAACAAACACATACTTCCTGTTGTCACTGCATGTGATTGTAGTCACTGCTCGTAATTGAGATCTGCTGACAGTTACGGGTAACACAAATAAACTACACGCACACACAATCTGTCTGTGTAAACAGATTAAAAATATGGCTTTTCTGATTAAACAAATAAAACCAAACTGTGGTCTGCCTACAAATCACATTTCTACATTTACACTTTTTTCAGATTGTGTGTGAAAAAATTGCTGGAGAGTGGGTAGACAGAATATAAAAGTAGAATTTTAACACATCAGTTCATTATCTTGCACATTAGCAGACTGAGTCACTAACACATCCCCAAAATAACTTTAAAGAGAATCAGAGAACTCAAACAAAGACAGTATAAACCATCCAATATGCCATTGATTTTTCTCTCAGATAATTAACTTTATAACCGCTGCTCTTGTCAGTGTCACTGTCTTTGTAATATGGACTCTATCCATCACAGAAAGCTGACAGCTGTTTCACTAAAGACCAATGTTTGAAGTGCTTAATCATTCAAATTGATCAAAGATGGCATGCCTGCAGATGTGTCTTAGAATGCATGACTTTTTTATTTGCAAAAGTGATTATTCTACTTTCAAAAAAATTGTGTTTATAACCCATACTTAAAAAATACGCTGAGTGCGCAGTCAGTTTCTCATTAGGCAGCAACTTTTCAAACCGACAAACTTGAACAAATCTTATATTTAGAAACACTGAGTCTTAAGAAATCATTTCTGTTCAACAGAACACATGCAGTTCAGTCCTTATTCAGCCTTTTATCTGTCCCTTCTTTTGTTTATGGGTGTTGATGTGAAACACAACCTTATAACAATTCATGGACAAAGTGGCTTGGTGAGTTTGTATATTCACACAAACCACAACAGTTTAAATGACACATCCTTTAACGGCGTACACATGAAGTGTGTCGGACAAGCAGATCAACATCCCACGTGCACTCTATTGTGCCAGCCCTTTGATGGTACACAGTAAATGTCAGTCACTCCGTGCACAACACTGAAACAAAACGGAAAATTCACACAAATAGGTCATGTTTACATGCACAGCTTATATTATAAGGGAAGAACTACTCTGTGTCGTTGTCTTGCTTTATTTTTGGAACAGCCTTCCTAAAATTTGCAACCAATCACTCACAATGAATTGAACTCCAAAAGTTCCACTGCGATCATTCAAGATATCTAATGCAGTTTGTTGAATTCACAAGGGACTATCTACAACCTCAAATTTAGTTTTAAATAAAACACTTGAAACACTACACAATTCTAAGCATCTATCACTACAAATGAAAAGCTGCGGCATGGTCACAACATACAGTCGCTGCTGAAGACGAGAGGAACAGGGAGAGCAGGTCTTAAAATAGAGTCTAAACCTGTGTTTCCTCATTTCTTACACATCTGCGAACATTCAGCTTGTCTTGTCTGCTGCTCGCTGCTAATTTACCCCCGCATGACTCACAGAGGACTGGAGACACACGGAGGAGGGAGGGTGGTTGTTAAAATTAAAGAACGGAGGGGTGGGGGATAGCTGCTCTGGGACAGCAGGTACATTTCATCCCACATGTGTTTGTGTCAAAGCTCATATGTGTAATTAACATGCTGACAGTGAACATGGTGCAGGGCAGGCGAAACTGTATGTAGCTTGGGCCTACAAAGCCCACCTGAGTGATTCGCCAGACACACACACACACACACACACACAGGTAACGTGAAGCATGAACACACACACACACAGTATAGAAGCATGCTCTGTGAGGCCTTTATGGAACAGTTGCTATAGTTTGAGAATTTTGCTCCTCTAAGCAAAGGACCTGCACAGATTATTAGGTACTGAGATATTATTAATACTTTACAAATTGGTAATAAACCATTACTAATATGTACATTTGTGTTGCCAGGTTGTAAAAAAAAATCCCTTTAGAAGGTTTTATCCTTCTTCAGTACAACTGACCCACTCAATATGTAAATGTGGTTTTGAGAAAAAAAAACATTTGCTTACCTTTTTTTAAGAATTGTTAAAAGTGATGTTGTAATTCTGCAACAGTGGGTCTTACAGGGTTAAGCCAGCAGTGTAATTCACTTGATGCTTTATTGCACAGGAATATGCTTTATGTTTATTGTATGTGTAGTGATTATAACTATAGGCCTAATTGGCTCATGATATTGTTGTAAATGTGAGACCGTTGCATGGAGATGTACTCATGTTCCTGTAAGTCATCAAGCACCAGATCTTCTTCAGAAGTTAACTGTTCAATCTAACTGTGGTTAACAATCCATTGTAGGCTGAAGGAATTGTTGAGGAACTGAAGAGAATAACAAAATGTGTGTGCTAGCTGTATTACCTACAGCACAATCTATATCTGAAGCTTGTACCCTGGCTATGATTAAAACTGTAAACAAACAAAATGTATTTATGTTTTATTTTTCATAAAGTTCCGCTTCTGAATATTTTTAAAATTTGCTTAGTTTATACCCATGTTTACTAGGTTACAGTCTTCCTCCTTTTTATTTTCCTTGGCATATCACCTTGAACCTTTTCATCACTAACTTGATCAGTGGAACCATGCAAACCAAATCATTGCTCCATAGCACCTGCAGAAGTCAGAAACTGGGTACCCTTAAAAACCTACCTTTAAAACACCTTACAATTTTGCCATTAACAAAAATGTTTACTGTTAAATAATAAAGTGATAGATACTGTATAATACCTGATCCCATGTTAAAAATGAGATTTCCTTTTTAACCTTGCTGAATGCACATGCTCCCCACAAATCTAATAGCTCATGTTATCAGTTAATGTGTATTAGGACCCACTATAAACAGAGAGAAAATTTCCAATCAAGCCCCGGTCCTGGGCTGCAATGGAATGCATCCCTTTGAGACTGATCACCCGTACAGAGTTTTCCAGTGTTACGCCTGCCAGTCACACTGAGCACACACACTCAGATGCATACACAGCACTGTTACAAACTGAGAGGAGAGAGAAAAACCAAGGTAGTGACACCAGACAAGGGTATGGTCATGTTTATACTCCTGTGGCATGTCCTAATAATCCATGCAAAGTGCGTATTTGGTGTATTTTCCAATCCTCAGTTTCTGTAACATCACTTTTCTCTCCCACACTATTTTTTAAGGTTTTGTTTTTCTTATGTTGCCAGATAGGGCGGGAATTTGTAAGATCAGGTGCCAAAAAGTTTGAACAGTCATAACAAAATGCTTAGGATGCTTTTCTAGGATGAACAGCTAATTTGAAGCTACAGTTGGGAGTTCCATAATGGTTAGTAAAAGCAGAAGGATTTTTCTACACGTACTGTTTGATCTAAGCCTGCTGATAAAGAGTGTTCCATACAGGAAAACAAACAGTCTATATTAGTAGATGTAGTAGTCACTGACAAAACTGGAAGACTGCTCTTTTACAGGAAACTCCACTACAGACCCTTAATGACCCTGATGCCACTGCCCTGCTCTGTTTTATGGTGACGGAAAAACTGTGACCTCTCTGTCGTTGCTAACGGGAAGTGTACGGTTTTTAAAAATTACAGTGCCAATTAAAAATGCCGCAACTAATGTAAACCCCCATTATAGCTACCAGATTCAGGGAAGTTTATTCAGACGTGGGTTGATTGCCCTGAAAGTGCCATGACCCAGAGGCTGCTGAAACTGTTAGGATTAAATTTAGAGCTAATGGCTGAATCATAGTGTCTTTGAGTAACAATACTATTCCAAAAATAGCATTCGCTGGTAATTCTACGCAAAGCCTACGCAAATGGGCATTATATTACTATCAAAATAGTGTTAATGACCTTTAAAGACATTTACTAATGACATGCAGAATGTTGCAGTTCCAGCCACGGGTCATGTTGTTGATGCAGCATAAAACTCATGTGCTGCTTCCTGTATTTCATGGAACAAACCCAAAAAGCCACTCTCAGATTTAATTTAATCACCAGTGAGTCATATTGTTCCAACTTTGAAGGTTTTAGACAGGATGAAATGGTCTTTCTAGGGAAGAATAATGGTGTTCTGCATAAATAGGTGTATTGGATCAACAGTTGAATAGAAAAGCTTCTGGGACTTAAAAACACAAAAACATGTTTGAAAAGCTGTATTTGGTAAAAGTCACATCACTCAAATTAAAATGCCTCTACTGCATCAGACATTGTTCTGTTTGGCATTACAACAGGCCCAGAACAATTGTATCAGCAGCTTGATTGAAAAGAAAGACAAGTCTAAAGGGAGCCTTCTGAACAGACATGTTTAAAACACATCCCCGACTCAACTTAATTATTTACACCATTCATTTGGATACAAAAACAATGGTGAACATTCCTGAAGTTGTCCATCCTTTGAATTGTAAATATGCATGGGCATACATTTGATGTACTTCAAGTATGGCAAATCAAAGTTAAAAAAGAAAAAGAAGGCAGATTAAGTACTGATTTTAATGTTTGACTGATTTTCTTTTCTAAACAAATGGTTTGAATAACATGGCTAAAAATATGGACTTGTTTTGTGTTTGGGCCTCAGTCTAAGGCACATGTTGAAACCGTGATCCCACAGTTTGATTGTGGCATGCAACATTTATTATCCTCCCCTCTTGCACACTGCCCATGTTTCCTGTCACTTCTGACTTTCTAATAAATTAAACATAAGAAGACAGAGTAGAACCAAGAAAAAAGAGAAGATGCTAAATGGGCTTTTTTAAGTTGTGATTTGCACAGTGATTACAATGAAGTGGGAAAATTGTCATAAATAAGAAGATAAACTGAATTTTAATTTTATAATGCAGCATTTAATTTAAGTGGAGTTTAGTCTGTTATTGTAGTGTGTTGACTTACAAAGCATTCTACATTACAAATTGAAAAGAGCTGTAAAGCGTGTCCCTGCTTTTTCCTGCGTCTGTAACTTCTTAAGCCAGGCATGTTAAAGGCTATGACCTTGTCCTCATTTACAAGAGTATCCTTTTACAACCACCATTATATAGCACACATACAAAGACCTCCCAGTCTGACACATGCCCAAGAAAAACAAATCCCTATATACTCTCCAATCACAACTGTGGCCATGTTGATTCTTAGATTACCATGAGATAAACACAAACACCATCAAGTGCACATTATGTAGAACTAGTCTGTGTAGTGTTAGCATCTGGCTTTCTGCTGGTGCTCCAGGCAGGAGATGGTGGAGCTGTCTGCATCTATAATGCTGACAGGGGCATCATAAAATTAGAAACACTGAGGGTAAGACCTCAGTCAGAGCTCAATGGGACACACTCTGCCATGCTGTGTCTCATACATATAGCAATTGATTGCTTTTCATTTGGAAGGAGCTTCTGTCACCCTTCTCACTCTTAATCATGTGAAGATATGTCTGTGTGAGCCAGGTTGTACTCCAAGATGGAGGAGGAGGGACTCAGCAAACAGGAAGTAACTAGTTCAAGGATTTTTTTTTTTTTTTTTTTTTTTTTTTGGGGTTTTTGGTTTTTTCTGTGG